AAAAGAAGACACTCATTCAAAAAGATACATGCATCCCTTTGTTCATTGCAGCACTATTTACAATAGCCAAGATATAGAAGCAGCCTAAGTGCCCATCAACAGATGAATGGATAAAGAAGGTGTGGTGCATATGTACAATGGAATACTACTCAGCCACAAAAAAGAGTGAAATAATGCCATTTGCAACAATATGGATGGACTTAGAGGGTATTATGCCAAGACAAAGAAAGACAATATGTATGATACCACTTATATGTGGAATCTAAAATATAAAACTCAGGAATTCCATGGCAGTCTGATGGTTGGGACTTGGTGCTTTCAATGCCAGGGGACCCTTCTTCAATCCCTGGTTGGGGACTAAGACCCCACAAGCCATGTGGTGGAGCCAATAAATAAATAAATAAATAAATAAAATATAAAACTCACCCTCCTCTTGTTTTCCAGAGATAATCTCTCGTCCCCATACAGACAACATCATTGCTCTTACAGGTGAAATGATAATTGCTACCCATCAAGGCAGTGATTGTGGAATCCAAAACCTTAACCTCAGTATTCAGACATCCACTTTCCATATCTGCACATATGTTATCACTGCAGCTACCATCCTGGCAGCAAATGTAAATTTGGGAAGTGACCACTTTTCCCAGGTAAGTATCACATTCTTAGAAGGATAGATCTTATCTCAGAAAATTAAATAATAAATGCTGTATCGAAAAACAATTCAGATTTTTGGATTTGGAACATAAATACTGACAAAGAGAGGCAGAAGGGATGTATTCTGAGGGTCCCGGAGACATGGCCCCACCTCATCCATTTGCTTTAGGGCTGCCTAGTATCTCTCCTCCATGTTTCCTCTCATAACCTGTCTGTACTTTTCTACCTCTTTTCACTGACTAAACACTGAACCTCATAACATCTATTTATAATAGCTTAATTCCACATGAAGTGAAGAGCAAGACTGTTTTACTTGTAATTTTTTGTGGACAAGCAGTGTCTTTTTAGTAATAGTTGGCTGTGCATATTTTAGTCTTTTGGGTGGATGATTTTCAAATGGATCCTTAGGAGAATTTTAGTAACATGTCTGAAGAATGCAAGAGCAAAAACTTCCTGCCCCATTTTGTGAAAGGAAGAATACACCTAAACATGTGAACAAAAGAATGTAAGTTAAAATAGTAAGGTAAGCAGGGATGTAAAGAATCTCTAAATGTTACCATGTATGAAAACATATTTTATATGTGCATAGTATCTTCATTACTATTAATATTATGCTCCCTTCTCTCTAAAAAGATTTCTGGTGACCCTGAATCAATGTAGATTTTTAATGTGTCATCTAGAAATCATGAGATGACTTATTCTAACAAATTTTATTATGATCACTCTCACTCCCTAATGGGTATCTTCCTAATCCTTCTTGTGGAAATCGAAATTTTCTCGAGTCCCTTAGAAAATAAAGACAAATGTCCTAAGGAATCTGTTGTAGCCAATGAATTAATTTGTTTTATGCATCTCGACTGCAATTTTTTTTATCTCCTAGGGATAATAAGGACAATATTCACTCAGATTAGACCAAATACACAAAGCAACTAATTTCAGGCCTTGAACGGTGGATAGCATAGGGTTGTAACCTTGAGGGCTGTAATGAGACTTCAGGTGCAGAGAGCCAGTGAATCCTAACTTTCTCCTCCAGCAGAGGCATCCTCATCACTGGCCTCAGAGGCTGAGTCTCCACTCCTTCCTCCAGCGTTTGATACCCTCTGTGGCACCTGAACAGTGCCAACTCCAATGTCAGGACAACCTCAGAGACCAGTCCAGGACAGAACACAGCCAGGATGATAGGGCTTTTGTTGCTGCCTCCTGGACTTCATGGTGGGCTAGAAGGCCAAATGCAGCCCCGACTTGCATGACCAGATGGATCTGGATCCCAGGTCTTGGGACAGCTTCCTTATGCCCTGGACTTAATACCAACAATATCTTGTACTGGGATTTGGCCTGGGGGACCTGGAATGCTGAAGAACTGGCCTAGGATGGTGCCAGGTGCCTCAACAGAGTTTCCCATAGCCTAGAAGAGGGACCTTGCAGGGAGCAAGGGGAGATCAGTTCTGGCCTGATTCCTGCCCTCCTGTAGCAGCCATGGAACATGCAGACAATGAAATGCAAAATAGGCAATTTGAAGTCTACTAAGTGTGGCAACAAGGAGGCATAAAGTGTGAAATGAGGAAGTAGGCTTAGGATGTCTGAGATATATTACTAAGTGAGAAAAGGAAAGTACAGATCTGTATACAAAATACGTATGACTTTATTTTTCCTGAGCCAACAACTTTTATAGGAAAATATCTGAACACAGACCCACACAGAATGACACACATAAATGCAGACACAATTCTAAAAGGATAATACTATAGTGCAAACCTCAGCTATTCCATTTAGTTTTGCAATCATCTTTACTCTGAATGTCCTCTTTAACTCTTCCTCCAACTGGGATTTGGTCAATTTGGTTTTCAAGAATGAAGAAGGATCACAATTTGGAGACAGACTCTTCAGAGTGACCATTCTTGTCGGGTACTGAGCTTAATTCCATGTCTTCTCAGACATCACTGCTAAAACACCTCGGAGATCTTAACTTTTTTCACCATTCATGGATGTTTCACCAGAACTATTTCTGCTACCATCTTTGAATCACTACTTAATTGTTATTAATAGCTTTCTATAATTTGCATTTTACAGCTGCTTTTCTGAGATAATTTCAATTCCACGTGGAGGTCAGTCCCAGTAATGACTAGAAAAATCATCATTATTTTCCAGCAAAAAGATGAAATCATCTGTTTAAGATACTCCCAATATTTCAATTGTTAAACAAAAGTCAGCTGAGTAAATTTGAAGATCTAATTGGCTTTATTAGGTGATTCATGTATTGGGTAGCATTCTATCTAGCAACTAGAAGGATGCTCTAAGGGGCTGCACAAAATGGAAGGTTTTTATAGGCAGAAGTGGAGTGGGGCAAGGATGTTGCCAAAAAGAAAAGGATTATTTTAAGGCTGAAACATCTTTGGTGGGGAAAGGAATGGCACAGGTTTTGTCATGCTCATTGCCTCTTCTTCCTCAGGGAGAAGATAGAGAGGGCACACAGATTACCTCATTGGTGCTGGCCAAGAAATTCCAAACTGGTTGATTATGATTACATTTTTCAGAAAGGTTGAAACTGCAATTAGGTTAGGTATTAAGTCTAGTTTTGGAATTATGGTCTTTAGCACAAGTGATGTCATTTTGGGCCTGTGGTTTCTCTCTTTAACAAGGTGTTGAGAGCATGTTTTGCTATATGTTCCACATTTGTTTCCTTATTCTCTGTTTGAGATTGATTTCAGATTCCTGAAGGAATTGAATATGTGTCAGGATATGGATTAAGAGGTATTCAGTAGATAAGTGTTTCATAATTGGATACAATTATTAATTATAATGGAGGAGAAATGTTTTATGCAGGAATCACTGATGGAGATCCATCTTTCCACTCCTGCTTCAGGCTGATGAACATCCCTCTTCTATCTTCCAGGTTCTGGCCCTATCTGGAGTTGTTTTTCTCTTGTCCCTGACCAAATGTACATGCACTGTCAAAAAATGAATCTAAAGCTTGAGAGTGCATACCTTTGAACTACAAAACAATAATGTTTATTAGCTTCAGCTTCCAGTGGAGTCATTTTGTTTCTTAATTACTGTATGGAATGATACATGCCTTTAGATTTGTGACCACTGAGAGCATCTCAAATGATATTTTTAGACTCTGGGAACATGCTGGGCTGCTTCACTGAGTCTGAAATAATGTCTCCAAATGAAACTGAGTCCCCCTCAAACGGAGTTCCCTTACAAAGTTTATGATTAATTTCTCTATCCAAAACGTTATTCCCTTTCTTATCCCCTATAACCTCAATCCTGGGCTAACTGAACACTAATCAACCAGAATCAGATGACTAAAATTGCTGTTGTCAATAACATCACCTAGGCACTAAAAATGCTCTTATAGATATCATTAACATACAAACTCAGGTTGTTTATCTAGAGCAAGATTAGCTAACAGACCCCGGAGCCATGGATCACGTGGCCAGAGAATTATAAACCAGAGACATCCTGATTCCCATATCCACGATTAAGAAGTGTCACAGCGCTTCCCTTGTGGCGCAGTGGTTGAGAGTCCGCCTGCCGATGCAGGGGACATGGGTTCATGCCCTGGTCCGGGAGGATCCCACATGCCGCGGAGCGGCTGGGCCCGTGAGCCATGGCCGCTGGGCCTGCGCGTCCGGAGCCTGTGCTCCGCAACGGGAGAGGCCACAACAGTGAGAGGCCCGCGTACCACAAAAAAAAAAAAAGAAGTGTCACAAGATAATTAATCCTGGCCTCTTCTTCTTCCCCTTTAAAAAATATCCCTAACTCAGAGGCTTCCCTGGTGGTCCAGTGGTAAAGACTGTGCGCTTCCAATGCAGGTGCGCTAAAAATGCAGGGGGTGCAAGTTCGATCCCTGGTGGGGGAAGTAAAATCCCACATGCCGGGTGGCATGGCCAAAAGAAACCCCAAACAAACAAAAACACCACCCCTAACTCAAAGACCGCATGGGAGTGGATCTGAGATCTGTCTTCCACTCCATTCCTTGGTGCCCTGCAGTAAATGCTGTTCTTTCCTTAACCACAACCAGGTGGCAGTAGATTGGCTTTGTGAAGCCAGCAGACTAAGTTTCGTTTGGTAACACAAACAGCAGCACTCCCACAGATTTTAGTATGGTCCTTTTGTGAAGAACAAAATCTGTCCTTAGAACTGGAGCCACTGTTTTCCTGTTTTCCAGCACCGCTCATTGTGGAGTTCAGCCTTTTTTTCCTGAAAAGCCTGGTAGGTTCGTGCATCTATGTGAACTACATTACCCAGAATGCTCAACGGAAAAGGGCAGTATGAGTAACCAATGAGTTCTCAGGAAATAGGCAGTTTCCGTTTGAGGCGCAACTTGTAGGGGCGGGACCTCCGGCCTCCTCCTCAAGGTGACCATTTTACTGCCCATTTTAACTGCTATGGGTCGGTTCCGGAGCTCCGTGTTAGAAACGGGGTGACGGAACCGGGAAGGTCCGAGTAGAGGCATAGTCCCCATTGCACAGAGGCGGGTCTGAGGCTCGGCGACGCCGCCCGTGGGCCCCGCACCAGGCCCGGGAGAGGGTCCGCCGTGCCCTGGTCCCACTTCTCCCGCGGCTCCCGGCGCCGCTCCGCTCACAGAGTCCGATGGCGGCGGCGGCGGCGGCGCTTAGGCACCAGCCTCAGGTAAACGGTAGTCCTTCGGGCCCTCACCCCATCAGGCACTAAAGCCCCGAATGCTGGGCACCTGCCCATGTGCCCGCAGGCCAGGCCGCGGTGTCCAGGACGGTGAGGCTGTTATGGGTGGGGCTCTGTTTCCGACAGTGTGATGGCGCGTGGGAGAGGGTGACAGGCGGAGGGACCCGCAGGTGCAAAGGCTTGGAGGTCGGATTGAGCCGGGAGGATTCGGGAAACCTGGGGTCCATCTGATGTCTGCAGGACACAAAGAAGGTGAAGCGGGGTCATACCCGGACTGTCAGGCTGAGGGTTGTATCTTCATTGTGAGGACCTAAGAAGGCATGGAGAATTTTGAACAAAAGGGGAACAGGATTTACATTAGCGTTTTAAATGTTTCCCAAGGCCCTTCAAAGGAAAAACAGATTTGAGGGGAGTGATGAGGACATGGAGGCACTAGGAGGTTGAATCATTGTTCAAGGCCATACTGCTGGTAAAGGGTGATACAGAGCACCGAGTAACAGGGGTCAGACGACCAACCTGAAGTCGTCTGGCTCCAAGGCCAGACAAGGAAGAATACAGGGTGGCATGAGCTTCAACGTTTCTAACCCACAGTTACATTCTTATAAGGCCTGTCTCTTCCCACAGAGTCCGAAGGCTGCAGAAGTACTTATGGAAACAAAACAGGTATGGTAGTGGTGTCCTAGTACCTTACTGGCTCCAACCCTCACTCGGATGCTTTCTGGTTTGTGGTGTCCTGGGACTCTTATGTGCCATTTTCCCAGTCCTTGGGTCTGGGGACCCTAGAGAAACCCCAAGCCCAGGGTTCTAAGTCTATATCAGGGGTGATATGGAGGTGTTCCCATTTCTGGCGACTAGTGTAAACTAGTGTGGAAGGTTAACCCAGGAGCTGCTACCAGGTTATGCAAATACTTAGTCTTAAAACTGAGCTGGGAGTGTTAAGGAACCACAGGTCTCCCTTTCTGGTATGAACAAAGGAAAGGAATATAGGATGACTGCCTGAGAAATGGGGCATCTATTTTGGAGGTATTGGGAGGTTTGGATCAGAGGAGGGAGGTGATATTACCAAGGTCTAAAAAGGCTCCATCTGACTGTAAAGTGGAGAACAGACTGTGGGAGTGAGGGAGGAGCAAGGTGGAGGCTACTGAGGGTTAATGGGCCAGGGCTGTGGTTTAGGAGATGTGGTTGGAGTCTGGATGCATGTTCTAAAAAGGGGCAACTAGGTTTTATAGTATGGATGATGAGAGAGTGAAACAGAGAACTCAGGGATAACCCCAGGGTGTTTGGTCTTGGCAGCTGTAGGGATGGAAGCTCCAACTGAGATGAGGAAGTTGGTAGTAGGAGTAATAATCACTGGGGGTATCAGGAGCTTTGTTTTAACCATGTTAAGAGTCTGAGGTATTTCAGAGACCAGTAAGTGGGGGCATCAGATTGTCAGCTGGACTCACAAGTTGGGAAATCAAAAGAGGGGTTCAAATTGGAGACATTCAAAAAGTGGTAGGTACTATGTGGACCCAACTAAGTGACCTGTGGTCACAGGAGGTATAATCTTCATGTTACGGTCCTAAAGCTGTTCAGGAAGCAGGAAGTGGAGGATAGAGGCTGACTACTTATTCTCTTGCTTGAGTACCTGAGTGATGGTTTTGGGTTTCTTAAGTGCAATTGAGGGAGGTATGTGGCCATAAAGGTAGGGTGTATCAGACATGAGAGCCTGTCAAGTGGCCAAGGCTTCCAAGAGAAGAGTAGATATGAGATGGATGTCAAGGCATAGGAGTGCTTGAGGCAAGATGACATGCAGACCAGAGCTATTTCTTATTCACCACATTATGGACTCACCAAGATTCTGTGAGGACTTTGCTGGGGCCTGGAATGTTTCAATTAGCCTGGTGGATATGGTCAGGGCAAGTATGGTCATTTGTGTTAGTTAATAGGACTGGGGTTGTTGGTGAGTGGGACTGGGCTTTGAATGAGGGTTAGATGGACAGAGAAGGCTGTCATAGCTGAGGGACAGCAAGAGCAGCACAGAAATGCAAGAGGGCCATGGGCATCCAACGTCGACAGGTGGTTCTATGTGGCTTAGTCTTAGGCAAGGAATAGCCATACAGGGAGGGAGGCCTTCATAGAGGGATTAGATGTTTCCACCCCCAGTGGGAGCCATGGGAGGTCTAAGCTAATATTGAATCTTGTTTGAATTTGCCAGGCAACTCTGGGTGCTTTCTGCAAAGTTGTATTTTTAAGGCCTAAAATAAAGGCCCATTATCACGCGCTGCCTTGACATCTAATAAAACCTAGAGTGGCTCAAATGGCCTGAGTGTAAGTTCCCCTCTCGAATTGGTGATCTTGGATAGGGTCTCCCATTTTATCAAGGGGGCTAGAGCAGTTCCTTCTCTTAAGAAAAATTCAACTCACATTGGCGGAAATTCCCTGATGGTACAGTGGTTAGGACTCAGCACTCTCACTGCCGGGGCATGGGTTCGATCCTTGGCTGGGGACCTAAGATCCTGCAAGCTGTGTGGCAGGCCCCCCAAAAAAGAAAGATCAAATTAGCTTTATTCAACAATTCATGCTTTGGGTAGCATCCCATCTGGCCAACAGAAAGGAGCTCCACTGAACTGTAGAAAAGGAAAGGTTTTTAAATGTGGAAAGGGTATGGAAAAGGGAAATTATTAGCAAAGAATGCATTGTCTCAGGCAAGGTTGCCCTCCAGTGGGGAACGAAAGGGGTCTATTGGGTGGATTACCTCACTAGTTCTGACCAGGAAATTCCAGGCTGATTAGTTAAAGGTTACTTTCCTGGAGGTTGAAACCGCAGTTAGGTTAGGTATTGAATATTAAGTCTTGGTTTGCTTATGTGGGGTTTAGCACAGTGACTCTGTTTTCACCTTCCATCTCCTTTTTAACATTGCTAATCTTTTTTGAAGTGGGTTTCAGTTCTCTACTGGCCTGCAGAGTTATTCAGACAAGCCATTTGCATCATCCTCTAGGAAACAGGTTGTACCCCGACCTCTTGATCCTAAAAAACTTCCACAGCACAACCCCTGGTGGGGTTTTTTCTTTATTCCAGTGTACAACATTCATGTGGCCCTGTATGGTATGTGATGTCCTCCTCTCCCAGGCTATATCTCTAATTAATAAACTGTTGTTGATCTCATCTGTCCAGTGTCAGGTGTCATATCTTCTGCATCGCCATAACCCTAGGATAGGAATTCCAGTGGGGTAAAGAGGAGGTGATTAAAACAAAAATAACATATAGAGAGGCCAGGGAGATGCCTGTGCTCTGGGGCAGTGAGGCATGGTGGCCATGGGCATGTGGCTGTGGTGTTGAGGGATGTGCAAGTCATGTGTACTTGGAGAGGGAGTGTGTCTGATGGCCCCGGGGCTCTGGTGTTGAGACTTCTGTGTCTTTGGTTGTATTGGGAATAGCTTGACAGGAGTGGGTGGATGCATCTTCCCCAGGCCCACAGCTTAGACACCTGTTTCTCCATCTGCCACTTGTTGCTGATTGTTGGACTTCATGACCAGTGAGCCCATAAGGAGAAAACAGCACAAGTTGCACCAGGGCCTGGTTTGTCCCCTGAGTTGGGGGGCTTGGGAGAAGGATGGGCATGGGGTAGATGTGTATGGGATGCATTGTGGGTACTCAGAGAAAAGTTGTTTATGGTTTTATCTGTTCACCACCATGAAAAGGCACTGTGACCTTTGAAGATGTGGTTGTGTACTTCTCCTGAGAGGAGTGGAGTCTCCTTTATGAGGTTCAGAGACACCTGTACTGTGATGTGATGCTGGAGAACCTTAAACTTAAAACCTCCCTGGGTAAGGTCCTCACACCCACCTCTGTACTGTGAGGTATTCCCTGCTCTCTCTTTTTTTCCTAGAGCCTGATCTGCCCTTCCTACATCAGAACCACAGAAACTGCTTCCTTCCACAAGTCCTTAAGTAGGTGCTGTGGTTGGTTGGGATAAGGTGTGTGCACTGCCCTCTTCTCTCCTTGAAAAGCCGCAACACCTTCCCTGCAGCCTCACAAAGAATGATTCAGGGTCAGGCATCTACTGGTCACTATAATTGATCCTTTTTTTTTTTTTTTTGCGGTATGCCGGCCTCTCACTATTGTGGCCTCTCCCGTTGAGAAGCACAGGCTCCGGACGCGCAGGCCCAGCGGCCATGGCTCACAGGCCCAGCTGCTCTGTGGCATGTGGGATCTTCCCGGACCGGGGCACCAACCCGTGTCCCCTGCATCGGCAGGCGGACTCTCAACAACTGCGCCACCAGGGAAGCCCAATAGATCCTATTTTGCTTGCCTTCTCCCTGGCCTGGTAACTGTCCAGATCTAAGACACCCCTGTACCCCAGATCCTATTTCTTTCCTCTAGCTGACATTTCCTCATGCCTGCTTATGTCAGGAATTGCCATCACTGACGTGGTTACTAATTACGTGGACCATTATCTTTTCTTGCAAGACTCTCCAAAGTTTTCTGTAATAATTTTCTTTCCTGTGGCCTGTTGTGTGCTGAGTTGTTCTGGCCTAGTACTGGCTGCACTTTTGTAATGTCTTTAAATACTTGCATCACGTGGTTGCCATGTATATTTGCTCATCTTGGGAGTAGGTTAGAGAGCCTTCAGTGGTTCACAAATGGCTATTAATCCAGCCACAACAAGATGGGTCAGGAGGCTGCTGGTTTTGAGTGGCACCTTGGGGAGGGCATGACATCAGGGCTGTGTTCAAATTATAGGAGAAACTCAACTGTGTTTGATTAGTATTTTGTGCCAGTTCTAGTGACCACACCTCATTTCTGGTGTTCCTTCCCCATTCTTGACACTTCGCTGACTTGTCAACTCTACTTGTCACTTCTACTTTTACCTCCCATGCAGGAGTAATCCTCATCTCTCTGGACTGTTACCTGCTTTTCTTACTGCTCCGTCTGCAGTGTTCTCCAACATTGACTTTTACATATTGTGTCATGGATGAGGTGTGCATATATCTTTAAATAGTCCTTGAACACAGGCTACTCTATTGCAGTTGGATATTCTTGGTCCTGGACTTACCCTTCTATTTAGTGGTCATGTGTCACCAGCAAATAAGAGCCTGCTGGAAGTTATTTGCAGAGAAACCAGTTGTAGGCCCTGCTCTCCTCCAGATATCCCATACCACAGTTGTATCCTTCACCTTGTGAGACCTTCCCCATTCTGTGCTCTTTATTCCCTAGTACAGCAAAGTAGCCTGATCCTCAACATACATCACCTCCCTTGTCCTGCAAACAATCCCATGGACTTGTCCTGAGTTTGTTAAACACACTCTTGTGTTCTGGTGGCCCCCTCCAGCCACATACTGTGTTATCTACCATCATCTACAAGAATGCATTATAAAAATATACATGGCTCTGCAGTGTGAAGAGGTAACATGAGGTTTGCAGAAGGCAGCTGGAAGAGCAGAAGACAGAAATACAACTGCCGTATAAATTTTAGGTTTCATAACTATCAAAACACATGTCCCTTCTTCTGGGTTCCACTAAATAATATGAAGTACAAAGAGAGAGAAAATGACATCTAAGACCTGTCTTGACTTCAGCTCAGTAACATTTCCTCTTCATTTTGCCAGGAGTAAATCCATATGGAGAAGATTCCAAGTCTGGGAAGCCACTCTAGATGGCTCATCATTCTCCTGTGTTCCCTTTTCATGGAAGTTTAGTACAAGGTCACTGCATACATTTAGTAAATTATCTGTGGCCAGGTATGTTCTTGGATCTGAAAGATAGAGAACAAACACATGGGGGAAAGCCAAAGAGAGTAATATAGCAAACAAAGGAGAGAGAAGTGGGAGAGAGAGGAAATGAGCTATGAATTATGGTAGAAATCACACATAAATGTCAGGAAGTGGCACAATTCTGAAAATGAGAGACTGTTAGAGTTATATATATGGTTTTTGAACATGGAAAGCATTAATGTATAATATTTTTCATCAATTACTTCCTCAAGGTGTAGAGAATGAGAAGCAGTTCATTAGCAAGAATAGGGAGGAAGCTATATAGAGTGAAACTACAATCTATATTCATGAAAATCCAGATTCTTAGACAGATGGGACAGTATAATGTCTTCAACAACGAAAATTAAGAACTGATATAACTGCAACTCAGGAACTGAAGGAAAGTACATTTTCTAACACAATTGAAGTGAGATGGACTTCAAAGGAGGATAATCAAAATAGAATTCTAATAGAGGTTTATTTTGCTAAGCCAACAAACTCTCCCTGGGCCATGATATTAGGAGAATTGATAGGAGCAGTGTTTGGAAGCAGTGTGAATTCACAAAGAGAAGAAAGTTCATTCAAAAACAGCAGTAATAGGAACGACCTGACACTGCTGTGTTCCATGATGGGGTGTTACTCTCTGAATCCCAGTCCATGTGGGCTGTAAACCTGGCACTCCCCCTTCCATCAGAACATCTGAGGTTCTTTTACTGTACAGAAGACATGGCAGGGCTATGCACTGGGGATCTCAATGTATGTGACTAGAATCCTCTTGCACCTTCTTTCTAGAATCATGAGCTTATATTCTAAAACTCTTCTTAGATTCAGCATACACTTGGATGACAATATTGCACCTTCCTGTCCATGAACATGGAATGTCTCTCCATTTATTTAGTTTTTCTTTGATATCTTTCATCAGAATTTTATAGTTTTTCCCAAATAGCTCTTGTATATGTTTTGTTAGGTTTATACCTGAGTATTTCATTTTGGAGAGGTGCCAATGTAAATGGTAATGTATTTTTAACTTCAAATTCCATTCATTCATTGCTGGTGTATAGGAACAACCTTGCTATAATTGCTTAATGGATTGAGGATTTGTGTTGTTTTTGATTCAGATTTTATACATAGACATTTGTATCATTTGTTTACAGAGACAGTTTTATTTCTACCTTCCCAATCTGTATACGTTTCTATTTTATTTTCTTGTCTTACTGAATTAGCTAGGACTTCCAGGACAATGCTGAAAAGCAGTGGGTAGCAGGACATACTTGCCTTGTTCCTGATCTTAGTGGGGAAGTTTTGAGCTCTTCACAAGTAATTATTATGTTAGCTGTTACATTTTTGTAGATTTTCTTCATCAAATTGAGAAAGTTCCCCTCTATTCCTAGTTTGCTGAGAGATTTTATCATAAATCATTGTTGGATTTTCTCAAATGTTTTTTCTGCATCTATTGATATGATACTGTGATTTTTCTTCTCTTAGCCTATTGATGTGATGGATTACATTAATTTGTATTTGACTGCTAAACCAGCTTGCATATCTAGGATAATCCCACTTGGTTGTGGTGTATAATTCTTTTTGCACATTGTTGGATTTGCTTCTGTGCTTATGAGAGATATTGGTCTGTAGTTTTCTTGTAATGTTATTGTCTGGTTTTGGTATTAGAGTAATGCTAGCCTCATAGAATGAGTTAGGAAGTATTTCCTCGGCACATTTCATCTGGAAGAGATTGTAGATAATTGTATAATATCTTCCTTAAATATTTGGTAGAATTCACCAGTGAACCCATCTGGGCCTGGTGCTTTCTGCTTTTGAAGTTTATTAATTATTGATTCAAAGTCTTCAGTAGAAAGTAAGAATAGACAATCTGAATAGGCCTTTTTATTTTATTTTTTATTTATTTTTCTCTTTTGGCTGCATCACACAGCATGTAGGATCTTAGTTCCCCAACCAGGGATTGAACCTGTGCCCCTGCATTGGGAACACAGAGTCTTAACCACTGGACCACCAGGGAAGTCCCCAGCCTATATCTTTTAAATAAGTTAATAAATGCCAAAAAAAGTATTTGAGAAAATCCAACACCCATGCTCTCCTGTTTTCAATTTCATTAGTTTCTACTCTAATTTTTATTATTTCTTTTTCTGCTTTAGATTTAATTTGGATTTCTTTTTAAAGTTTTCTAGGATGGAAGTTTAGACTAATGATTTTGTATTTTCCTTTTATGCTGTAAATTTTCCTCTAAGCACTGCTTTCACTGCAACCTACAAGTTTTGACAAGTTGTGTTTTCATTTAGTTCCAAATAGTTTGAAATTTCTCCTTGATGCATGTGTTATTTAAAAGTATTTTTTTAAATCTCCATGTATTTTGGGATTTTCCAGCTATCTTTTTCTTTTTGATTTCTACTTGAATTCCATTGTGGTCTGAGAGCAGACATTGTATGATTTCTATTCCTTCACTCCTGACTGCTGGAGCTGTCCATTTCTGGTAGACGGGTGTTGAAGTCTCCCAAATATAATAGTGGATTCATTTATTTCTTTTCATCTGGAACTCTAGGTCCGCTTTCACACTCACAAAGCAGAATTTATCTCCTTCTCATAGTTTCCATCTGACTTCCTCTATATTCAAGCCGCAACAGGAGATTGTCAGTTGCAGTCTTTCTTCTTACACTTCAGATCTGCCTGACTTCCACTTCTGTCTTAGCCAGAACAAGTTCTCTACTTTTAAGAGTGCATGTGATTACATTAGGCCAACCTGAGTAATCTCTATTTTAAAGTCAAACGATTAGCAACTTTAATTACATCTGTAAAGTTCTTTTACCATGTAACATAACATATTCATGGGAGTAACCCCAGGAGTCAAAGTTCACAGCCATCAAAACTCTGCCAACCACAGTCTCTTTTCCTAATTCACCTTTGGGTTTTATAGCAGATTTCATTCTTTACCTTCTCAATAGTAAGTCTGACATTATTTTATTTATATAAATCTACTCATAATTTATCCACACAACTCAGCCATGAGATAAATATCCACATATAACTGCAACCACCATTGTATGGCACAACTTGACTTTAACTCCAGGTTTCCCATGTTCAACACAATGTGATTAAGCAGCAGTTTGCTTGTAAGTACATCTGATGATCTCTGCTTTTCTTGTTTTGAAATTAAATGTATCATTTTGAGTAAGGTCTTTATTTTGCTTATTTATTTTCATTTTATAGACTAATCTTTTGCTCTTCTCATGATATTAACCTGGGGGCTCACTCTCTGGGTCTGTGAAGAATTGATACTGATGCTGCCTGTGTGTTTAGGTCTTACTCTTGCCCCTCATGACATGGACCTCATTAGGAAGAGACCTAGCACATAAGCCTAATATCTACCAATGTTCTACACGATGAATACTTAGGCAATGATGATGATGACACAA